TTTTTTTTTAATTAGGTAGGAAACTTCAAGCAGTTGCTTGACAATTCTAGACATCATATAACCTATGATCAGCTTATTCAAATAGATGCGTTTAATATTAATAAAAGCTCCAATAAATTAATACCATATGATATTCCTCTAGAAAAGGTTTATATATATATATATATAATTAGATTTGGTGAGTGGGGTTTGGTTGTAAATATGTCTTCATTTACTGAATAGAGAACCAAATATAACACTACTATTTGATCTTTCTATTCTCAATAATTCTAATACAAAACTATGGCTGAGATCTCCACTTAACCTCAAACCAGAACAATACAACAATAACTACAACAATTCATGATATATTGGGAGAGTTGGACAACAAAACCACAGTAGTTCTCAGTATGTCAAGAATCAACCAGACAGAGTTTTAGTACACTTTTTAATATAAAACAACGATCATACTACTTATGCCACTTAAGCGTAGATTAGAGTGTAAGTATTTTATTTATGGGTAGAGAGGGTATAGAATTATTATGAGATGAATTTTTTGTGAATCATGAAGGATGTCTTCCCTGAAGGGTGAAAAGCCTTTATTATATACTTTCTTTTTAATTATTACATATTATACAACTTATTCATGATATATCGCTTATATTGCCTATACTAATTAAAATGTTTATACTGATTATACCAAATAAACCTATGATTCATTTATCCTTTCTATCCCCTATGCAAAGTATACAACAGATATAGTGTATACAGCCGGAAAACCCATATTTAGTAAGCAATTATAAAACCGTTTCTGCACAATCTTGATTACATTCTTCACATACTTCAGGAGTAAGATTCTGCGATCTACACTATTCAATATATTTAACCATATGAGTACCATCAAAAGAAAACCTACAATCGGTCTTTCATGTGTATTTTTTGCATAGTTGGTTATCTGTGTGCCATCTATGGCAAATTTAACATCAGGCAAATTTACCATAGATGGTACACGGATAACCAACTGTATACAAAATATGCTTGAAAGCTTGATTGCAGGTTTTTCTTTGATGGCACTCATATTCAGTAAGTATAAAATTGTTATCATTGGTTTCTTTTAGTTGAATTTTGATTAATTTATGCTTTTGCAGCTACAAGCCTAACCACAATATGAGGTCCTTTTACTGCTATTATAGCTGTGATGCTTAATTATTAAAAATGAAGTTTTGTATTGCCTGTGGCAACTATAGGTTCTTGCATTGCTATTACAGCTATGGGTCTAATTACAATGTAAGGTCCTTGTACTGTTATCATATGCAGAGCTTAAATGCCAAACATGAGGTTCTTGTATTGCCTGTGGCAACCATAGAACCAAATTACAACATGAGGTTCTCGTATTGTTATTACATCCACAGAGCCTAATCACAGCATGAGATTCTTGCATTGCTATCATAGTTGCAGAGCATAATCAAACATAAGATTCTTGCGCTACCTATGCTAGCCATAGAGCCTAATCACAATGTAAGATTCTTGCTTTGCTATCACAGCCATGAAGCCTATTCACGGTATAAAGTCCTTGCATGGCTATTGTAGTCGCAAAACTTAATTACCAAATATGAGATTCTTTACTGTCCATAGCAACTATAGAGTCTAATTACATGCTGTTCTTGCATTGCTATCGCATTTATGAAGCCTAATCATACTGTGAAACCTTGCATTTTTATCGTATTTGTGTAACTTAATCACCATGCATAAAGTTCTTGCACTGCCTGTGGCAGCCATAGAGCCTAATAACAACATAAGATCTTTGCATCCACGAAGCCTAAACACAATGTAAGATTCTCACACTATTATCACAGTTACATTACTTATTACCAAACATGAGCTCTTGCACTGCCTGCGGCAGTCATAGAGCCTAATTACAACATGGATTCTTGCATTGCTATAGCAGCCACAGAGTCTAATCACAATTTAAGGTCCTTGTACTGTTGCGTAGTTGTAAAGCTTAATCACTAATCATGAAGTTTTTCACTGTCTGTGGCAGTCATAGAGCCTAATCACAGCATGAGGTCCTTACAGCCACGGAATCTAAATACAACAAGAGATCATTGTACTGCTATATTAGTTGTGGACCCTATAAAAAAGATCAAAATTCTATTCTGATTTTGTTCAGTTTATTTTTTTTATAAAGAGTGATCAATCATCAAACATAAGGTTCTTGCATTGCCTGCGGCAACCATAGAGCCTAATCAGAACATGGGTCCTGTATTGTTATCGAGCCATGGAGCCTAATCACAACATGAGGCTCTTGTACTGCATAATACAATATCAGTTACAGTGCACTCATCTCTAACTCCCTTTAAGCAACTAAAGCGCCTAGTTGTTATATTAAAAAATTAACATTAACGTTAAAAAGTAAGAGGACATTTTTACATGAATAATGCTAACCATATATGAATCTTCCGGTAAAAATTTAATCAATCACGTTAGCTCATTAGCGTTAGCGTTAAGCTTCAATCGAAAAGTACCACCCGCACTGGATTTTTTGATGCACACCAGCCCAAATAGAGCTGGATATTAAACTTTATTAGATTGCTTAAAATAGATGCGTAGTATGCAATTGATGTATGAATTAACTAGTGACTTGTAGCGTCAGCCGGTGGTTTCCCACCCGCACAAAGCGGGCAGGTTGTCGACGCGAGGTTTGTGAATAGACTATCGATGCATAGCATCGGCCGGTGGTTTCCCACCGCATAATGCAGGTCGGCCGTAATTACGAAGGATTCGCAAAAGGAGAAGGTAGGGAGGGTGCGAATATGGCAAGCTCGCCGGGAGAGGTTGCAGTTGGGCTGCCAGCAAGTCTGAGTTCATATCAGCGTGCATTCTTGTTCTGCCCTAACGAATTTAGGTTATATTAGTATCCGCGCCATGATATCCTAAATTAGTAGCTCATTGAATTCATACGATTGTCAATGCGTGGTATCAGTGCTTCGATTGCCTTTTCGATCTGTTGACATAATGTCAATTCGAATGAATCAAATGTATTGTGTTACGCAATTAGAATTTTATCAATTTGATTTGATAACGATAAGTGTCGGCTGGGCGAAAACATGAAATCTCAATTTTCGAACCACAATTTGACAATGTCCTGATTTCATATTTAAAAAAAAAAATAATTAAAAGCACGTGTTTATAGCGGCTTGCAAAAGGCAGCACTGTGATTTTCGTGATGATAGTGATAAATTTGAGATTTTAAATTGTCTATCGATCAAATTTCAATCAGCAACGTCTATGCTTGAAATTTTAATAATTGGCAAAAATCAAAAAATTCGAATCCACTGATTTCCAGTAATTTTATATTTCACATTGTGGTCTACAGAGGTCGCACCTTCCCATATCAATTAAATAGATATAAAAATTATTTCACTGATTTGATTTAAATACCCTTACATATACAAAAATTGGCAGTCCCGTGACGATGCTATCATAATTTTTTGGATATTTGCGTTAACGTTAATACTGTAATACAAATATATCTAATCTAATGACAGACAGCTTATTTTTTATTTATTTATCATAATTTTATGTTATTTTTTTTAATTCGGGATTTGTGTGTTACACATTGAACTTAAAATCAGATTGCACTAAATTTTACGCAATGATTACAATACTACACCAACGTCGTCACTCTATAAATTTCTCTGATGGTCAAATGATCAGATGTAAATAACGCAGACAAACAATCAAAAATCAGTTATAACTCAAATCTCTAATGAAACAGCTTTCTGCACACTAACTGAAAGTTTTTTTTACGAATTTTTGGTAATAATAAAGCTCTCTTTAATCCAACATAATAGCAAAACCTGATCTAAATCTAATAGAGAAATTTTTTATCGAAATTTTTAAAGCCAATAGTGCTAGAGTCTACCGGTACCTGAAATTAGATCTTCCATGAATTAGGTTATAATCAGTGTTGAAAATTCGTTGTGCATGTATTGTTTTTCGCACAATTACTGTGCAATTGCACAAAATGTTTGTGCCGAATTTTCAACACTGGTTATAATTCCAGAAGGTTCAGTTTTAAGAAGGCACGACAGTTTATACCGATACATTTTAACCTTTTTCCACATTAATTACATTAATGTGAACAATTTCCACGCTGATGCGATAAAGTGTGTATAATATCCACATATCAGATATGTTAAATTCAGAGTATTATACTAACAATGCAAGATCGGTCCTTTGAACCAATCTGTACAAAAATTGCGTTTTTGTATTATAATTATTTTATATGTAAAAAATATGTTTATAACTAAAAATACTGTATCACGAATTCTTGCTTAAAATCGGAAGCTAATTGTCATAATAAAATTTTATATTAAACATTGTCCTTACTTATTTTATTATATAATATATCTTTTGTTCTTTATAAATGTACTCATAAGGTCGACTAATCTGTTTTTACTTAGTCAATGGACGTCTGTAGATAATTCAATAAACCGAATGCAGATCAAATCCATTGTCAGAGGCTTAAATCAGGGAGGAATCATGCCTGTCATTATCCATAAACTACCAGGTACGTACGTACGTGACAAATATATTTGCCCGTGTAGCAATATATGCTGTATTATCTCGCAGATAAGCAACAAAAGCTAAAATGTTGTTGAATGATGATATTAATTTTGCAGGACAATACGGCAAATAATTTATTACTTATATATTCTCCGTTATAAAAATCATAAAGATCGTATGAAAAATTATAAAAAATTGTCAAGATGCCTCGTCTTACTCGCGGCCAATATAATAATTCTTCTGACCCTTTGTATGAGGCCCTGCTAAACGTTCAGAATGAAAATAGACGGTAGTTGTACTATATATATATATATTTAAATGGCTTTATAGTCATAGATATTTTACATTAATTAATTAAATTTATTTATTTATTTATTTATTTATTATTATTATTATTATTATATTTTAAATTATAGACATCTCCGTCGTATTCGTCACCTCGAAAATCGTGTTCGGGACTTAGAGCGTCAATTAGAAGATATGAGAGAAGAACGTGATTCTTGGATGGAACGAGTAACTTCTAACGTAGCCGATAATTATTTTAACGAAAGTCGACTTGACCGTATACGACGGGAGAGAGATTCATTGCGAGCTCAACTTCAAAATTTAATCGATAATAATTCTAGTATTAATACACGTAATAATAATAATAATAATAACGATAATAATAACCATAATAACGATAATGATAATAATCGTGGCACTTCTTCTCGAGTCACTTTTGCGTAATTTTTGACGTAGGCTTCATCTTTAACATTTTATTTCTTAATAGTTTTAAATGGAAATATTTTGTTGGAAGATATTTACAGTCATCTGACCTTGTCAAAAAAATGAGCAAAATAATGCGTGGTTATTTTTCATTGAAGCGACCAAAAATTATTAAGATTTAATACAAATTTGTTCAAATTCACTGACTTTACTGTTATAATTGACTTATTAACTTTAATCCTGTTGATTCAATGAAATGAAAATTAAATGCAAATAGAAAATCTGGGACAGGTTACGTGGTATCCAGATATCAAATATTAATAACAATAATAATATTTAACGTTTAATATTTTCGAAAAAATATAAAATTTTTGTATTATACAGACAGGTTGCTCTAAAATACAGAAATATAATTTTCTCGTTAACATTTTGCATTATTTTAACTGTCTTTTTTTATGTACATGTATTCTTTTCCAGTTTGTTAGTAGCTGTCGTCAAAGAATGGCCATTTTTTTCCTTTGGCCAATTTCTTTTTATTCATTATATACAGAAGCTGCTTGAAGCGAAATTTGTGCCCTATAACAAATTTAATAAGCATTTATATGTAATAGAGTTAGAGAAGTAATTTTTCCTATTTGTATATTACGAGCTTTTCTATAATTGCAAATAAAATTTTCTAAAGTAATTTTTGCGGATTTTCCATTGCGTTTCAATATTAAGATTGTCTTCAGTTTCAATAGTATTTTTACTACAGTATTATAAGTAAATAAAATATTATTCACGCTTAATAAAGGGTCGCAGTTTTCATTTTTTAGCTTGGATCATTTTATTCGAATATAATTAATTTGAGTTTTCAGTAGTTTTTTTTATCATGTAATGAAAAGATCTTTTAATGATTATTAATTCAGTAATTGGAGTTAACGTAACCTGTCCCAGATTTTCTATTTGCCTTTTTGCATAGTGTTCATAAGCTTTGTCTTAGTTGGTGAGCTTCATCATTTTGCCTAATACTATCCGTATCTAGAAGATTATTTAACACAAGAACTATAAACCCAATTATTAATAAAAGGAGAATTTCTATTCTAGTAAGTCCATACAAATTCGATTACTTGGTTTTCATAATGTAAAACTTTTCAATAGACTCAGCCGACTACTTTTTTTTTTTTTTTAAAAAAAAAAAAATTATATATATAAATTATATAAAGAATTTTTTTCATTACGATGCCAGTTGTTAAAACATATAAAAAAAATTTTTTTTAGAAGGTTCCAATTTTTGACCCGGCCGTGTTATGAAACTTATTAATTAAGCTTGCATGGCCTAAGATGCAAGTTAAAAGTCAAATAAACTTACGCTAGTTAAAATTGAACTGAGTTTCTTGATTCTTTGCTCTTTCGTCAACTTCTGCTTTACGCTCTTGGTCAGGTTTAGTTTGCTTATTAGAAATAATTTTCTTCTCAGACGGGCTCACACGAGAATTAGCTAATTTTTTTAATATGGACGCGTTTCTTTCACAATTGTTTCCAATTTTTGTGATACGAACATTCTACGTATAAGCAATCATCTGGTTGGTTAGTGTAACCGTCGATGACTTGTGCAGTGTCCCTAAATAATTCATAATTAACTTATTTCAACAATAAGCGGGGATATAAAATGTCCTAATTTGTTTCGAAAGAAATAAAGTATCCTTTTTTTTATTGTTGTTATCATATTGTATGAATTATTATAACGCACCTATGGTGTTTTAGCACCTATGTATAATTTCTTTTAATAAAATTTAGGGTTAGGGTTAGAAAATTAAGAATTATTTTTTGTTTTATATAATATATTATAGAGCTAATATAAGGTTCCAATCTTAGTTTTTGTAAGGTTTTTAGGGGTCCTGACTATTTTTACTTAGAGAACCCGATCCCATTTACTTAGTACGTTTTTGAGAAATGGGATCTATGGTGTAAAAACACCATAGGTGTGTCTTAGTAAAATCCTATTGTATTATCGTAATAAATTAATAAAGAGCTATAAATTATCGTTTAAAAATTTTTTTAAAATTTTTAATATTAGATTTATTTCGATTTGTTAATAACTAATATGCCTCTCAAAAAACTTTTAAACTACTAAAGAAGAGAACTCGAGAAAAAATCATAAAACTTAATAGTTTTTTTTAACGAATAGTAAGATATCGATCTAATTCAATTGTTTGCAATAGTTCCAACAGTTCGTCGATTTCTTTTTCGAGAATATTAGCTACTGTTAGCGGCAACTGGGTGGCAACAGCAAACCAATCACTACAAAACAACCACCAAACCACACGATATACCCAATGGTTAGAGGCGGTAGGATTTGGCAAAGTAAGGCTAAATCGGGTATATAATGGGTTAACGAACGACTTTATTCAAAATATGAACACACCATCTTATTTATTAGAGGGCGTAACAAGCCCATATTTATAATAATTTACATGCGGGGGGGGGACAAAGAAAAAAAGAACTTTTTCTAATCTAAGCCAATCGCGCAAAATCACGCCATTTTTGCAGCAACCGTAGGTTTGTCTCCTCCGGCTAAGCTTTTGGCACTGCTCCAAGCCCGAATTGGTTTATGCCGCCATAATTCCAATTCTTTTCTTTGTCGCTTATGGCTTCTCAAGATCGATTTCTTCGCGATTTTGTGGTGGGGTTTTCGGTGCATCGAATCAAATCTATCGTCACGTTTTCGGATCTTGTGATGTCGAATTCGGCGCAGCGAACTTCAGCATTTTTGCCCACTAGCACTATATTTTTTATGAATACTATTAGATTATAATATTTTTTTTACAGAAATAGAAGTTGTAGATTTATTATTTTGTAATATATTCGATTAGTATCTTTTGTAGGGATATAATTTGCACATTCATCATGTTGTAAAGTATTTGATTGTGTACTATTAAATTTTGGTCCTTTTTTCAGCTCGATAAAATTTATTATTGCATGATAGCAAGAAGAAATTTTAAAAATTACATCAAATTCAATTTCATCAGAATTATTACATGGCTTTAGAAAATTAATTTGTTTATTACTGAAAGTATGATGAAATTTCAAAAAAAGGTATAAGGAACTTTAGTATAATTTTTTTTGTTGAGAATACTGTTAAAAAAAGAAGCTAGAATTTTTATTATTTGGTTAACAAAACAAAATTTCTAATTTTGTAATAGATATTATACTAGATATTATGTTAGAAAATTGGGTTTCAACGAGAATCTTCGAAATATTATATTTGGTAACAATTTGTAAACAATAGGAATTTGAAGAAATTTTGTAAATTTTCTGTGCGATGTAAATTGAAAAGCGCAGTAATAAAAAATAAAAGAATAAATAGTATCGATCAAAAATATTTTGTGCTTGGATTTAAATTAGTATAAATTGCATAAATTGTGACAGAATTCTAAATTTAATAAGTACCGGTATATTGATTAAAATTGACTTAATAATTTTTGCTATTAAATGGAAGCTGGGTGTTCTTAAAATTACACATAAGCCAATTGAATTTTTTAGGGTCTAAATGAATTAATCTTCTTTATAAGTAAGTAAGAGTTGTATTTAATGAATATTGAAGAAATTTAATACGGTGCTCATAATATTCTTGTATTATATAAAAAAAATAGGATTTATATGCTAATTATTTTGAAATAAATACGTTACTTATTGTCTGTTTCGCATTCAAAAATTATAATTATATTTTATATAATGAATGGTCTCTTATATATATCATCCTTAAGTTTATCGTTTAAATAAATTTCTGGTACTTATTTATATTAGGGATGTTAAGTCGTTTAACCAGGCGGTTTAAAACGTGATCTATTTAATAGAACCAGCTAGTTAAAATTCTAGCTACCTGGTCAGACTACTTAACATCCCTAATTTACATTAGTAAAGAAATTTTTTTTCTTTGTTCTTTATATCAGTTATGCAATATTTAAAAATGTTGCTTTCATCATTATATAAAAAAATTACATTCAACTCTTTCTACAACGTACTGACCGTTCTAGAAAAAAAAAAGTTCATTATAGAAAATTATTTTTATTAAGAACCTATAGCACTTTGTAGATGAACTGTTGGCGTTTAAAATTATCTCGTTTATATCCAGAATTTGTTATAGAAAGGTTCGTTATATAAAATAATGTCACAGCTGCTATCAAACCATATTTGACAAAAACTTTTTATTTTTAATTCTACGACTATGTAGAATTAAAACAAAAGAATTTAGTTTGATAGTTATGATATTTTAAAGCTTACTTAGAAAATTTGTCCCATTTCTATTGACTAGATGCTAAATCCATTAAATAGCTTTATTCATCAAAGAAAATATATAAATTCAGAAATTTGTTAGGTAATTCTTTTGTGTTTAAAAAAAAAGTTCATTAAATCTTTATGAATATATTTACTAAAAAAATTTTTTATTATTATTAGATCATATAAATGAATAATTGGTCTGCCGATTGTAAAATGAACATTATTTCAAATTTACAAATGATAAGTCAATTACACGTCACTCTCGATATTACGTGGTATCTCGAGCACATAGTGAGGAATTTTTTTAAAATCCGCTTTATCGTGAGCTTTATTAGTAAATCCATTATATCAAGTAGTATTTATTATGATGTGGATCTGAATCTTGATCCATTATATCAAGGTTTTACTTAGTCTCCGTTATATCAAAAGTCCAGAGTGACGTATAATTATCAATATAGATTGAGAAATGATGCAGAGCATATCTATATACAAATAAAATCAATGATGCTTTAACTTTTATAATAGATTTTAAAATAGTTGTAAACCTTCGTTAACTTTCAAAATAAACAATTCTTAGAAATGTTTAATCTTAAGATTAGTTCCGGTATTCTAAAATAGTAAAATATTTTATAATATTTAATTTTTGTTGTAAAAGCATTTTGGAATGGGTAAAAATATTTTATGATTCCTAAAATATTTTAGACATCCTAAAATATATTCGACACACTAAATAATTTTGTAACTTGAATTATTTTTGTCATTTTAAATTGTTTACGATTTAAACTAACTAAAATAATTTAGCCATTTAAATTTACTCCAAGAGCAAAATAATTTAGACATCCATGTATAATCAAAGGTAATAGCCATGTTCGAATATTTTGATCAAGCTAATTTAACGGTTTCTATTTTAATCGTATAGTCAACGATGTAAATAGAAATGCCAGGTTTATTACAGTACATATGTAAATATTATTGATGCAAAATCTTTAATTATAAAATTCAACAATAAAAAGGATTAAAGTAAGCATTAAATAATTATTCTTTATAAATTTTTTATTGTGCCTACTTTATTTTTTAACGTCATCATAATTTTTGTTCGTAGCTTTTTTTTTTTTTTTCTAATTTATTATTGCAAAAATTTGAACGTGACAATCGATACAACTTTTTTCATATCAATATTTCCATTTTACTAGTTTTCAAACTTCGTTTGGTTAACGTTAAAGTATAAAAAAAAAAAACAAATACGAATCAACTTTATACATAACAATTATTGCATGAAAATTAGCCAATGAAAGATCTGGGTTCATGTGTACCGAAAAGAATTCAAGACAAACCGCCAAATCTCAAGTAAAAATTGATACTTGCCCTTCTTAATTCATAACAAAATATGCATACTAACGCGTTTATGCAATAAGCCTCCTCCAAATTGCATATTAATGAGTTTGCGTAATAGGCTTAATTTTTAATCAAACCTCATAATGACGCGTTTGTAGTTTTTTTTTTGTTTACTTTCAAATTATTCTTTGATCGTGATATGTTACACTAACTCATTGGCTTAGTGTTGTAAGCCGACTAGGGCAGCCACAGCTAAGCCAGCTTGGTCAGCTGGCTAATGCGGATAATAGCTACATGATTTATTGAATAGTAGAATTACGAAAAATTCCGAAAAGAAAAATGAATAAACATAAAATACTTTGAGAAAATTTCCAAAGTATTCCGAAAGTAGACTATTAGTCTGCTGTTAGCAGCTGCTTGCCGATGTTTTAATCGGCTGGCTTAGCCAGCTGACTAAAGTCATGTGGCTTACAATACTAGGCTTACTGCTTGTAGATCAACATATCACTGTGTAACAGATAACCTATTTATTAATGCTTTGATTTACTCTTTTTTCGTGTCTTATCTTTGTTTTACTTTTTCTAGCGTTTGCTTCTGTTCCACTTTTTCTTCCAGAATCCAGTATATAAAATGCCCAAAAGCCAGCTAAAAAGTTTGTTAAAACGTGTTCCTTGTGATCTAATAAGAGTGAATCAACAAGACCTAACTTTGTATTGTTTTAAAAACCGTTACTGACAGTCTGAAGACACTGAAAAATTTTAATAAAGCTAAAAACTTCTGGCCGCAAAAAAAAAAAAAAATTAGTTTATTTCTGTTTAAACATAATTCAGAGCCTAGAATCAATGTGTCTTCTTTTATGCACAACAAGTTCGCAAATACGTTCACACCTAGCTATTTTTACCTAATTTTGTTATTTGAGAAATTTCTCACGAGTATTTATTTATTGTGTTTTTTTTTTTTTTTTACATAGGCTTATATAAAAAGGGTGAATAATATCGGCAGTAAAATATGGAACGAGACGAATGTGCTGGAAGTGACGAATAATGTCAATAGTGAAAAGGGAAGGAAAATGTCACTTCTTCAGCACCACCAAGATGCCAAAGAAACAAAAATATAATGAGGAAAGTAGTGCTTATTCGTCCAAACAGCATAACTATGCGGAAAGGCAGAAGTTATCGCATAAGTTTAATTTAGTTTTAAATAATAGAGTTGATTTTTGTTTATTATTATTTTTAAAATATTTATTTATTTTATTTATATTGTTTTTACATAGGCTGATATAAAAAGGGTAACACAATCAATAGTATTAGAGATTTTACGATTTTGGATGCATATAAGCTTACTGAAAAAGCATGGGAAAATCTCACTGAAAACACAATTAAAAATTGCTGGAAATCAACTGGAATATTACCAAATTTTTTAAAAAATGGTATGCCAACATAAAAGTGCTTTTAGATTACGTCCGAATTCTTGTAAAAGAAAGCCTATCACGCTGACTATTCGCAGTATTTTTATCAGATGGAAATTCTTCTACGCCCAAACATTTGGCCGGAACACCTACGAATACCAAGAGTATTTCGACTCATTCCGAAGAGGATTTCCAATGTTTTTCCATATGATCTTAAAGAAGTCATCCTATACGAGGGTGGTTGAGAATTGAGGTAAGCTAAACAATTCATTCGAAATAGATTATCGGATAATACTGTTATTGAACGCTACATGTATTTATTTGACTTTAAACACTCGTACTCATAACTAAAATTTACGCAAGTCACAGACAGTTACTCAAGTTACCGAGATCTTTTGTTGGTTGCACTGGGGGAGTAGATAATTGCTATCCTAGGATTTTAATAATAATAATAATAATAATAATAATAATAATAAAAGTCATTATGCCAAAGTGTGTACTACCAAATAAAGGAAACACATGAAAGAATCAGAGGACCCGATATCATTGTAGAAATAGATGGATCACGGTTTTACAAACAAAAGGATGGAACAACAATATGGGTATTCAGAGGGGTAGAGAGAACACCTGACAAAAAGTTATTTGCAATAACAGTTAAAGATAGGATACAAGATACATTGATATACTATATCTGGAAATATGTTTACCCATAATCAGTAATCTATTCAGACATGTGGAAAGGCTATCATAATATTTATGAGAAACTTGGAATGCAATACCATGCTATCAATCACAGCAAAGGTATGACCAAAACAGACTTTGACCTCATAACAGAAAAGTCATGCATACCAATAGTATTGAAGCAACATGGCATGTGTTGAAAGATGCGATATTGCCAAGAAGTAGAGATAAGAAAAACTTGCAACCACACCTAAATGAGTTTATCTGAAGATGCCAAAATAAACAAATAACTATTTAGGATGCGTTACTAGAATGTTTGCTCGATACCAATTATATAGATGATCTACAATCAATTGGTAATACAAATTACTTAGATAATAAAGATGAGATGACTTTATTGAACCTTTAATGAAGATTTGAGATAAGAAATATCTATAAAAGAAACCTTCAAACTACAAAGAAGATCATCCAAAACATATCAGATAAACCCAACTACACTCTGAAATATATTCTGAAACAATGTCTCAATATGAATACTTTTACCCTGTAAGTTATAAAAATGGCAACTACTGTGAAAAGTGCCAAGAAGAAGTCAACCCCAAAAAGTGGGACAATCACATTAAAGAAAGACACAAGACCCTAGTTTAACAAACAAGAGAAGAAGAAGCTAGAAAACTTGTCAAAACGGTCAAAACAATTAAAAAAGCTATCAAAGTCACCAACCAAGAATTTAGAAGAATGAATATTACTAATGTTACTAAACCAATTACCTTTAAAAAAGAAAAGAATGATTTATTCTATTTTGAAGTAGAAGAAGAACCATGCAGCCAATATGTCTAGTGTACAAGAATTATTATTGGAAATATCCAAGTTCATGAAGAAGAATGTCTTTTCAAAAGATGCAACATGACCTCGAAAATGCTAAACAAAGATACAAAAACTTTACCAAGAAGTTAACTAGAAAGAAAATACTACTAAAAGATATAATGATTGTGGAGTATTAACCAACAGAAATTATAACTGCCAAAATAAATTCTGCAAAGATGAAACTATTCTCTTTCCAAGACAATTTACAGTATAAAACTTGAAACCCAAACTCCTCAAAACAGAACCAGGACCTTCAGTAAAATTTATTTGTGAAATTTGTAATGAGCAAGGACACTCAAACAGAAACTGCTCAAAGAATGAATATTGGAAATGTCATAAACAAGGACATCAAGCTAGAGACTGCAAAATGTCTATCTCAATCAACAGAGAAAGAGTCATTCTAGACTCAGATACAGAAAACAGTAAAAGACAAGAATCTTTGAAAAATGCTAACCAAAATAAAGAATACTATAACACTCGAGCAGGAAAAATTCCAAAACAATTACTTAAAAATTATGAGAATATAAAATGTGGATATGATGCCAATTTTATTAGAAAAACTAAACCAAATATTTGTCAGTGTTGTAATGAAGACTGCTATTAAATCATCACAAAAGATTTATTCTTTTTACCAAAAGGAAACTATATTAACCTCTACGATTACCAAAATGAATTTCTTCTAAATAAAATAATTTGTAAATGATGTTACCAAGAATATATTGAACATTTCCCAATTCTAGATCAAAGATCTATCAAATATCAAGAAACAGAACTAGGAAGAGGGAATAAAAGAAAATGTACTATATGCTGTAAAGAAAACTGAAAAAGGCATATGGTATATGACTATGAATATAATTTCTTTTGTGACAAAGATGAAAAAATAGCATACAAACTTTACTACAGCTACAGACACTGTAATATAGCAAGAGTTCAAAGAGAACTAGAAAATATAACTAGAGGAATTTATATAAATTAGACAATAAATGAATCCAAGATATTCTGAATTTTTCGATTTCTTAAAGAAACATCATGTAACCAATAGGAAGACTCTGAAAGATGAGAACAACTTATAATCTTGTGCACAGATAGAATTGGAGATCAGTTTAACCACTATTCTCCAGTATTAGGAGCAGACCTTAATGATGATGAATTATTAAACAGAACCTTCAATGAAGGAGGAAACAAAACAAAAACTTATTTCAGTAACCTCACCCAAACAAATAATTAAATAGCCAAGAAACAAGAAACAAAAGGCTGCATATTATGCCAAGAATGCTTAATACTAAAACGATACTAGATTTAATTTTTAGAATTTGCTTAGAATACTTTAAAGACATTCAAAATTCATTAATACCTAAAAAAATTGCAGAAAATAATGCAAAAAATAAAGAATAGCAAAACCAAACAATATATAGATCCTTGAAATAGAAATTTAACCCAGAAACTGACAGTGTAGAAGTTATTACTATTTGATGCAATAATTGCAAAATAACTAAAAGATTTATTAAAAAAGTAGTAACATATAGCCAAAGATACGACTTATCTGAACCAACTTCACCTAAAGAAATTAAGAAAAAAGATAATAAAAGAAGATAGCATGTATATGAAATCTATAAAGAAGAAACTATACCACTACCCAATGTAAAAATTGTCTAACAATGTAACAAGTGTAAAAAAACTTTGAAAAACCTATTAATATGAAAAGTCTCTATTGAATTGCAAGGGAATAAAATACTTCAAATATTTATTGAAAAACCAAAAGAAGAAACACCAAAAAACCTTATCCAAATATTTGATGAAATATCCGAAGAACCAATAGATATGAGGAATAATAATAATTTTATTCCACTACCATTCTCATTAATCTACCTATCAGGATACAATTATAAAGAAGAAGAATATAGAAGTCAAATTTTAAATTTACCACCAAATGTTTAAAAATAGTACAATTTAGAAAAAGAAACAGGCTATTATAAACAAGAAACTGTTACAAATGAATCCTTTAATATACTAGTATATGAAGAAAGATACTTTTTACTAGAAGAAATGAATGAAGAAGTAAATAATACTTCTGAAAGATCTGAAAACCTCTTATTAGAAGAATATAGAAAAATATTCCAGACCTATCAGAATTACAAGATAAATTTAAAAAAATTGAATGAAAATTAGCATTACCTTTAGCAGGACACTCACTATTATCAACAATTTCGAATCAACAAGGAATTCAACAAAATAGTATTCAAATTCAAGAAAGTCATGAAGAGATTAAACTGTTACAAGAAGAAAATGACCAACTCAAAAGAGAAAATACAGTGGTAAAAAGAAAAATTGCAGATCTCGAAGAAATTATAAAGACTGAGCAAGCATTAAAATTTATATACTGAAATCAAGACTATAAAATTGCAATACTTTCAAAATTCAAAGCATTCTATAATCTACAACTTCAACACCTTGGATTTAAAAGGGCATTAATGCAAATAAGCCAATTAAATAAACTCTTTAGAAATTCAATTGACAACTTACCAATTGAAGAAGAATTTGAACAATTTGAGGAATTAAACAACACGATGGAGTAACAAAATATTAATTTACTCATAAATAGTTTATCAAATGAACAATATTTGAAAGCTTTTATTATTTACTAAATTAGCTATATTCTTATTATGTATTCACCTTAAAATTATTTTATTAATCGTATTAATATAAATATTTTTAAGTCTTGTCTGACACAAGCGTATAAACAAAAACTATAAAAGTACAAATAAAAAAGATAAAGAATAGTTATAAAAAAGTAGAGAAACTGACCAAGTCTTAAACATGCCAAAATACCAAACAACACTTTCTAAAAGTTATAAAACAACACCAGCCTATAAAACTATAAAAAGATACACTGTGTGTGAAAAGTGCAAACAATTAAACTTAACTTGTGATTATAAAATTCCATATAAAGTCTGTAAAAACGAAGAGATAACATGTAAATAACATTTTACCAAATGTGACCTATACAAAGTACAAACAAAGATTATTAATTATCAGGAACAATTAAAAAATGTGTATAGAGAAGCAACTGTAATATCAGATTACTTACGGATACCAAATATATATACAAGCCAATTTCTAACAATATGAAAATATTTGAAAAGTGAATAAACCAATTCAGAGGATTTAAATTTGTGAAAACACAAAAACCAAAACACCATGCTTGTACCAACTGTCAATTATTGAAACAATGCTGTGAAACAACTACTGGAAACACAAGTTGCAACCATTGTATATGACAAGAACTAGACTGCTATTATAACCAAGACCAAGGAAGAAATAAATCACAACTAGTAATAGGCTATATCAATAATCATAGTATATAAATACTACAGTTACTATTCTATAGAAAATATACAAAGAAGTTATTAAAGCAAAACAAGTATAATAATAATTGTCATAGATGATCATAAAATTGGATGATGGTGAAATTTGGGGGTCTTAATTTGAAAATATAAGCCCTACTAAAATCTACCTATACTCTTTTATTAATATCACTAACCCTAAATCCTAACTTAACTATAAAAAAAAACTAACAAAAAAAGCCCTAAAAATTTTTAAAAATTATACATAAAATAGATCCAAATTTCACCATCATCTGATTTCATGATCATCTGTAACAAT